TGTTTAAATCTGAAGTCAAACCTTTATCTACACACCCATAAAGCTGGCGGAAACAGGGGGCTGAATACAGGGAATTTTTTTGTCTTATTTCCTGTACAAAACAACTTAGATGTGATTTTAGGAGATGGAATAAGTCATATAAGAAAAGAGAGTCAAAGAGACTTCCCTTTAATTCGTAGAATATGCATTAAGCAGAGAGTGAAAAAAATCTCACAATTTGATAACATAGCATGGAAGAATACAAGCTCTAAAGCAGTAAGAGATTCACTATTTGCAGCTTTAGTGGTACTAAAATAATTAAAAGACAGATCAAGATAAAACAAAGCAGAAAAAATATTAATTTTTAAATGTCATGGCTATTTTCTGAATATACAACACTTCAGATTTGCAGCTTTTCAGCAAATAGTAATAATTTAGTAAACATGCTAGTAACCATCTTAAAAAAATTGGAGAAACATATATAAATTAAATTAATATAAATCAGCCCCTAGATGTCATTGTTGCAGCTGAAATATCACTTAATACAGAACTTTCCTAATTCTGTAGTAGAAGAGGCTGTGTAAAGCAAAATAAACTACCTTAAGTGATACAAATTTTGCTCAGCTTTAACACCTCAATACCAAACCACAAAGACCTCTCAGGCTATAACAAAAAAAAGATAACTAACCAACTACATACAACAGGGCTGCATATGAGATTCAGGTTCAGACAATCACTTCTAAGGCCACTGAAATCCAAACCTCATCACAGAAAAGACCATATGCCCCTTTGTAACTCCTATCAGCATTTGCCTCAATACTAAAACCACTGACATTTCATACAGCTAACGTATCTCTAATTCTATCTGGAACAGTTCTACATGTTATATACATATATATATATACAAGAGTTACATTCTTGGTTTTTAAAATCTCACAAATATTTTTTTCTGCAAGATATTGTAGCAATGAGTTCCAGAGATAAATTACAAACATATAAGAAAAAAAATCTAAAATTTCTTGTAAAAGTTTTGAAAGTGCAACCTTTCAACTTCACTGAATATCTGATTAGTCTATCTGTAGGATAAGCATATTTAAATGCAATTTATTTTCTTTATACTATTTATTATCTTTCTGTATCTATCATGTTCTATTGCATTGGCTCTGTAAATGAAGCAATGTTGTGTACTTTCTTCCCTACATCATTTTTCAATACTTCTAATAGTTCTTAAGTCATCTGCAATATTTTCTCTCAAAATATAACTTGGTCCTATTTAATAAACAAGTAACACAGTAGCATTTTTTTTTATATAGTGTTCTTCCCAGTCTTCTCTTACTTTCTGTATTTTCATAGAGTACACGCCATATTTGCAAACTTCTATATTTAAAGGGTCAAAATGTTCCCTCTATAAGGCTCAACTTCACAGTAAGAACGTCCAAGATGCCAGCCTGACAAATAGAAGTAGCCAATACATATGCACCTATGTAAATATATGCAAATTCCTCCACCATTTTCTGAGAAACCTAAAACTTTAATAGCCATGTGATAATCAACTGTATTTTACGCACTCTGCACGTATTTTCCCCAGAAACAGAACACCTATGAGCAGATAAACCCAGTATGCAGATAGACAATATGAAAACAGATTCTATCATCCTAAAAGAATGAGAAAAAGAAGCCCAGGCTCATGTTTTGCAGTTAGTCTATAAACACGCAGAAAAATTCCTAGTTGCCAACATTGTTGCAACACTGTTGCAAATTTCACTGGTTTTTATGGTAGTTCTACTTCATGATAGATAAAGGCCACCTCCAGGCTGCCAAGACCTAAATCTTAAGCAAGGTATGAAAGAAAAACATAGTACTTTATGTGCCACTCAAAGTGCTCGCACAGTACTCTTGGTCATTGTTCACCTAGCCAAGGCCTCCATTCTAACCGGTGCTCCAGGCAAGATTCACTTCTGTTGTACATAGAGCTATGAAGCAGTTCATTTAATCTCTGCTCAGGAGATTCAGGGACACTACTTATATAATGCATGGTAACAATTACAAAAATTATAAAGCTTTTGGGATGGTTTTGGAACAGCCAAACACAAAAAAGTGTAGAAAACTCATGGGAGTTTGAGGGACTCTTCATTAGGGGCTGTAGTGATAGGGCAAGGGGTAATGGGCTCAAACTTAAACAGGGGAAGTTTAGATTGGATATAAGGAGGAAGTCCTTTACTGTAAGGGTGGTGAGACACTGGAATGGGTTGCCCAAGGAAGCTGTGAATGCTCCATCCCTGGTGGTGTTCAAGGTCAGGTTGAACAGAGCCTTGGGTGACATGGTTTAGGGCAAGTTGTCCCTGCCCATGGCAGGGGGGTTGGAACTGGATGATCTTAAGGTCCTTTTCAACCCTAACTATTCTACGATTCTATGACAAATTGAATTTTTCATTAACAGCTATAGAACTCATTGCTGGTACAAGTCATTAATGAAGATAAGCCTAATCATTAATCTCAAAAACTAAACAGTGTTTGAAACTGAGGCCACAAAAATGAACAGACACCTTACAGACAAGTTGCTACATGTATTTTTCTCTTATTTTAAAAGTGTAAACAAAAAAAGTATGTATGCTTCGCATGTATTTACTTCAAGATAGCATCTTTGCTGATGTGTTCTAAATTTACTTGGCATTTCTAGACTATGTATTATTCCCTTAAATTAGGCTTATAATGCTTACCATAAAACTCATGCCACTGACATTTTGTACATATTTACAGTAATCACAAAGCAATTTTGTAAAACTTTTACAAAACAATCAACATTCTGAACATATTATGCTCAAAACAAGAGTCTCATCTCTGCCACTCAAGGATAGCTGCCTTATCCAAATGTCATTTAGTTTCATGCCTCCTTCAGCTTGAAAGCAATGAAAATGAAACATACGAACTTTGTGAATTAAGAAGCCTTCCAAATTAATGTAAAATTATAAAATCTAAATTTTTTTTGTACTATCATACTTGAACAGAGAAAGAAATCTTTAACTTAGTCCAGATTTAATTACAACAGAGAACAGTAACAAAGCATATATAGACCATTACTATTAACCCAGTATTTTTAATCCAGACATCTCAGACCCTAGCATACTTTGATTGGGAAAAGGAGGGGAGAGTTCTGTCTCTTGAGTGATTCAATTCAGATACCTGGTAATTAAATGATGACAAACAGAGAAGTGGAAGCTAAGCTTTTAAAGGAATAAGGTCCATTTCTATGAAGAAGCTCTATTTAATATGGTAGTGCTATTATTATTACCACTACTACATTTGACATTGTAAATGCTATGCAGTAGGCGTTCAGAAGAAGGGTTGTACCCTTGCATCTTCCCCACAGCAATTTCTTTTTTAAAAAGTATTACCAACGTTGTCTTACAAAGTCACAGATAAGGTTTGAAAGGTCTTAGGACTAAACACAATTAAACAGAGCTTCATAATTCAAGGAATCAAATTAACCAAGTAAATAACTCCTATCAAAAGATGGCTAAATCCATCTCTTGAATAATACCCGATTTGCAAGTATTTCAAACATATTCCTTATCAATATGAAAGAATACACAATTGTAACCTGCTCTAGGTGGGGTTGGACTAGATAGTCTCCAAACGTCACTGTTAACCCTAACGGTTCTGTGATTCTGTAATTAGCAAAGTTCCCTGCTGTGGGAGGAAACAAGCCGGCAAAAATTTGCTGCAACTTTACCAAGTCACCAACACACCCAACTGTATACACCTCAATACACCTCAAGCCTCTTTCTGGAAATGAACATTGGATGTTATTTGCTATCACCTTGCCATGAGCAACTTCCAAAGCCCATTATAGCTCCGATTTTTCAGTTTAAATGAAATATCTCATAGATTCACAGCATTTCTGGTGTGCAGCTTCTCCAAGTGCCCCTACCATGCAACACACACTTTCACCTCCATATTTACAGAATCACAGACTGGTTTTGGTTGAAAGGACCTTAAAACTCATCCAGTTCCAACCCCCTGCCACTGGCAGGGACACCTTCCACTAGACCAGGCTGCTTATTCCTGATAAACTGCTGAACCTTCCTGCCAGCTCCCTGCACTTCACGCTCTGAAACATTTGCATTGACTTGCCATTTTTTGACCCAAAATACGGGGTCTGTGTTGTTATGAGTTCTTTAACTACAACTGTTTATCCTTCCAAAGCTGGGCTCGAAGGAAGTATCTTCATGGCGACGCTACCATTTCTGAAGCACATGTAGACTATAGCAGCGCTCGCGCTCGTCTCCGTGGCAACGGCGCGGAGGCAGTGGCCCGGCGGCAGGCACCCGGAGGTCACCTGATCCGAGATCGCCGGTCACGTGATACGGGCTCCATCGTCGCCATCTTGAAGCTGTGGCCGGGGTAAGGGACAAGACCACTTTTTACCCTCGTTACCCAGGTAAAAGCCCGGGCGGGCCCGCAGGACACCGGGAAGGGTAGCGGCTTGGCAGCCGGGCAGCAGGGAGAGAGGGTGCGAAGCTCGGCGGCGGGCGGGCGGGCGGGCGGGCTGGCGAGCAGGCAGGCCCCGGGGCTGTGCGCCGCGCCGCAGCCCATGTGTGGAGCTGCGGCTGCCGGCAGAGCCTTCCCCGGGCCAGGCGGCGCTGGCCGCGGCCGCCTCCCTCCCCTCCTCACCGCACTGCCTCCCCGGTGGGCCAGATCCCCGCGGTCGCTTCCCTTCGCTCCGCTCCTCACCGCACAGCATCGCCTCCTCGGCGGGCCCGCTCCCCGCGAGCGTTGCTCCTAGTTCTCCATGTGGCGCCGGGCCCGCTGCTTGAGGGCACGTTGCTGGCGGCACCTGCGCGGTATAAAGCGGCGGCCGCGTGGGGAGTGGCGGCAGAGGCGGAGGGGTCCCGCGGGAGCGTATCGCCGGTCCGCGATAAGTCCCGTCCCCTAACCTCAGTCTTGGGGTAAGGGTTCTGCGGTCGGGAGGCGGTAGTTGACTGCTCGGAGCTCCTGATGAAGTTTCCGTGGCCTCGGGAGCCGCAACGTGACCAGACCGGCCTTTCCCAGTAAAGCGGTTGTGCAAAGCGGTGGTTGGTTTTTCCTAGACCTAGGGGCATCTCACCCGGTTCCTGCCGTGCTGCTTGAGTGGGTGGCTGGCAGGGGTGGAACGGGCCCCTCCAGCACACCGGCGTTCTCCTCTAGTCTGGGCCTTCCCTTTGGGCCCCTTCATTATCCCCAAACCCTGTATTTTAATTACTGTGTAGCTCTGTAAAGGGAATGTGCTTGCAGATCCACTTCCCAGGCTGAAGTTTCCTGTCATGGGAGGCTGAATCATCTTTGTTCCTGGTGAAAGCAAGGTAGTTACTAAAATCCAGATAACCTTTGTACAATTCTTATCATCCCTGTAAAAATGAAAGCCTGCTGCAATAAGTGTGAAACTTACTGTAAACAAAGAACGACGTAACATATATACAGTGTAGTTACCTATTCGATAACCACGTCAGATACAGGCATCCCAGATCTATACATCTGAGCGTATTCTGCTTTTACAGTGTGCAGAGGCACAAAAATCCGGTTTTGTCCGTGCCCATGGCAGGGGGGTTGGAAACAGCTGGTCTTTAAAGTCCCTTCCAAACCATTCTGATTCTGATTCTACTCCGTCTGCATTTTTGACAGAGCAGTAGTGTATGTGGCAGCATATTTCTTTTAAGATCTGTCTAGGATTTTTCCTCATAGTTTCTGTGCTGCTTTCAGATTGAAAAGGTAGGGGAAATACATGCCTATTCAGCGTTAGTTACAGAACTTTAAAACTGCCAGGTACAATCGTAAGTAGCTTAGAATTTTCCTTAAGTCATTCTCAAATTGAAAATATTTCAAGTACACATTATTCCTTTGAGTGCTCCCTGTAATGTCAAATTTGCTTTCAGGAGAAAAAACACAGTTTACTCTTCAGAATAGCTTTTAAACATATGAAACAAACAGTATGAAACAAACAGCAAAGTATTTTTGTATAACTAAGTAGGACGGTTTTCAAATAATGGCCTTAAACTTATTTTAAGTTATAGTTGGAGATACTGCAGGAAGGGATATATTTTTTCTTAGCCACAAAGACAAGAGTTAGTCATTCAATATACTGTGCCAAGCACATAATGGAAATAGGAGCAGACATGCGCATTGAGGTATCTACTGGTTTATATTTTAAGAGTTAGATACTTGGATGTTTCAGTTTAATGGTAACTCTGTGGATACAGACATTGATTCCTATTAATAAGGCAGTACTGAGCTTGAATTAAATAAGGAGACTATTTGGTATATTCTTACATAAAATTATACTTTTGGGGTTTAAATAAATTTTATTTTCTACCTCCTACAGTCACAGTGCAGTATTGATCATTTTTAGTCTGCTTGCACAGATCCAGCTAAAGGCATAAAGCCTTAAGTAGCTTACTTTTCTAGTTATCCAGCTGCCCTACAGCACTATTTATATTTTATTAATTTTTCATTTTTAATGCTGATCTTAGCCATTACCAAGTAAATAACCATCAAACTAACACTGAAAAATAATAACTTGTTTTCCTTAAAGATTCAGAATTGACAAATATCACTGCATTTTAAACTTGAAATATTTTACATGAGTGTATAAGGTGTGAATGCTACTAACACTGGTTATAGTGGTAATTCTGATGATAACCTGAATTGTAAGTTGAATGGCAAAGGAAGGTAACATGAGTAGTTCTGCCAAGAATTTTTACATAATGGGAAAAGGGCACCATAGAACCCACTCTCATGTGTCTCTTCATTACATTGCTACATCCAGAAGTAGGAAACAATGGGTTTTATGGGTCTTTAGGATCAGTTCTGGAAGTTCTGATTTTGCTTCTGTATCTGTATCTCTCTTAGGGAAAAAAAAAAAACTGTATGAAAGAGCTTGAGATGCATTTTCAAGGATGACTGATAAATATCTGTCATATCTTTATGTTCTATACTTTATATATAGAATGCAAAAACAGATGTCGTGTATAAACTATGTGTGTGTACATAGTGGAACTTGTCTAGGTTATTTTTAGACATTTTTTCAGAAGTAAATTTCACTGTAAGACTTTTTGTCCAGCTCCTGCACCCCTCACCCCACAGCATTGCCCACATCACAAAGTATGTTTCATGGAAGTTTATCCATGTTGGTTTCTAATTTAACCTCCAGCAGTACCACATATTGCCTGTGGTTTATAGTTAGGTATTTTTAAAGGAAGTGTAAGTGGAAATAGCTATTTCCTGTAGCTTTCCCTCAAAACAGAAAAAAACGAGTCTTTGTAACATTCATGGCAATTGATTTTCCCTACAATTAAGGAATTGTAGAAAAAGCTAAAATTAGTAGCTTTTCTAGAAAATTACGTTTATAATAAGAAGTATGATTTAACATTTGAATGATCTTTTATATATTTATATATATTTATAGTGAAATGACTAATGCAAGCAATTACCAGAATTCCTTTGTTTTCCTAACTTTTCAAGGAAAAATTGCTTATTTTTGTAAATTATGTTGTTGCAAATTGTTGTTTGCTTGAGGACACATCAGTGAAAGTATGTTGGGAATACATTTTTGTATCATCATGGCTTTTAAACTTAAATATGCCAGTTACTATTGATTGGTATATTTAAGCGTCTACCATTCAAATGTGTAGCCTTTGTAAAGAAAAAGGCAATAGCTGTGACAGTATTAATCAGCCTAAACATGAAAAATATATATCTTGCCCCTGTACAACTTGGAGGCAGGCAGTTATAGGCTATCTTGGAATTACTCTGTCCAGATGTATTGAACAGCATCCATGCTATCCACTAAATGTTCTCAAAAATCTTTGTCTGTACAGCCATTCTGAAAGTTTTTATAAAGGTAGTGGCATTAGGCTTCCATATTTAGTAGAGGATGAAATCTAAACAGTACTGGGTTGTATTTTTATTATTGTGCATGTATTTGTTTTAATTTTTTTATAAACCACTTTCTTCTAGGTATTATGGAAGAAGGAAGCAGTGTTGCAGTATTGATGCCAAATATTGGGGAACAGGAAGCTGTGCTGATTTCTGAAACAGTCATTGGCCCAACACTGCAGAACAGTGAAAATCAAAGAAAATGTAACACTGACCCACTAATTCATGTTATCCAGAAACTAAGCAAAATAGTTGAAAGTGAGAAGACACAAAGATGCCTTTTAATAGGGAAAAAACGCTCCCATCCTAATGCTTCTGCACAGTCCTTGGACGCAGATGATCTTTGTGAAATCCCAGCTAAAGCAATTGAGCTCTCTGTTTTCACAACTAGAAAGACTGAAGAGCTACAAGCAAATTATTTTGTGACTGAATGTCTTCCACAAAGCAAAAAGAATGTGATGTGCTACCAGTGTAGCCTGTGTAAGTTTCTATCACCCTCTCTCTTAACACTACAAGAACATATAAAACAACATGGGCAGAAAAATGAAGTGATATTCATGTGCTCAGAATGTCATTTTGCTTCCAAAAGCAAAGAAGACCTTCAGTCCCACATCCAAAGTTGCCATGAGAATGGTGGTAAAAATAACACCCAGACAAAAGTGCAGCAGTGTGTAAATGTCGCAAGTTCATTTTTGAAAGGGCCAGTGGAAGGAAGTGTCAAATCAGGGGCTGATCAGACAGGAAATCTGAAAGGTAACAATACAACTCAGTCTACTCAGAGGCCTGAAATGGGTAGGAGAAAATGGTATACTTACGAGCAGTATGGTATGTACCGGTGTTTAATTTGTCGGTACACATGCGGTCAGCAAAGAATGTTGAAAACACACGCTTGGAAACATGCAGGTGAGGTTGATTGCTCCTATCCTATCTTTGAGGAAGAAAATGAAACTACCAACATGTCAGAGGTGGTTGTAACTCATACACCTCATAGCATGGATGCAGTTGTTCTTTCCTTGGAAAACAATGAACTTGATATCCAGAGTGAGCCTTCTCTTCAACTTCAGATTTGCAGTTCTGAGCAACTGTCATGTAAATCGCCAGTAGGAACAAACGTAAAAGAGGAAGAGATGTTAAATCAGTCTGTAGTGCATTCTCCTACTACAGAGGTTTTAGAGGACACTGTATCAGATACAGAACCAGATAGTATGATAACTGATAGCCTGCTTTCATCAGCACAGAAAATCATCAATTGTAGTCCAAATAAAAAGGGTCATGTTAACGTAATAGTGGAGCGTTTGCCAAGTGCTGAAGAAAGTATCTTACAGAAGCCTTTCTTGATGAACACTGACATTGAAACGGAAAAAAAATTAATCTCAGAGGAGTCCCACATTGCCTGTGAAGAACCTGATGAAGTTTATCATTCAGATCCAATTCAAGAAGTAGTAATAGGATGGAATAATACCGAGAAGAAAGATAATGAATTAAGCTCTAATAAAACCATACCATCTGATGAAAATGTGCCGCCTGCACGAAGAAGGACAAATTCAGAGTCTTTACGACTACACTCATTAGCTGCAGAAGCTCTTGTTACAATGCCTATCAGAGCTGCAGAACTAACAAGTTCTAGCTTCAGGACTCTGACTGGAGAAGATGCTGTGGATGCAGGTGCAGGACAGGGAGAAGCAGATGGCCCATGTGTGACTCATTCTAAAGTGGCATCCTCACTTCAAGATCATTCAGTGGAGTTTAGTAACTTTAGCCAAGGTGAATGTGCGATAGTTGAGATACAGAAAGAAAGGCCAGAGTTATCAGAAGCACCAACTAAAATGGGCATCAGTATGTCACTACTCACTGTCATTGAAAAATTGAAGGAGAGGACAGATCAGAATGCTTCTGATGATGACATTTTGAAAGAATTGCAAGACAATGCACAATGCCAAAATGCAAATGATGCAAACATTCCTGGCAGTAACCTAGTAGAATATATACCTAACGCAGATCGACCCTACCGCTGTCGCCTCTGTCATTACAGCAGTGGTAATAAAGGCTACATAAAACAACACTTGAGAGTCCATCGTCAGAGGCAGCCATATCAGTGTCCTATCTGTGAACATATTGCCGACAATAGTAAGGATTTAGAGAGCCACATGATCAACCACTGCAAAACAAGAATGTATCAGTGCAAGCAATGTGAAGAATCCTTTCATTATAAGGTAAAGTTCTTTTCTGTGACTGTAATAGCTAAATAACCTATTTTGCTACCTTTTTGATAACTGGTCATTCCTCTTTCTAACTTAATTCAGCCTGACTTGATTGTCATTGAAGTTGGGGATTATTGCCAGCAGCACTTTCCAAACATACAGTTCAGCTATAATTATTCTGCCTTACCCACTGAAATAAACTTGCTTCATCACCTAAGTTACTTTCCTAAGAACCATCTTATGGACATATTAATATCATTTCTGTTTTTCTGCCCACATGTAGCAACTGCTGGAGGAAATGGAAGTATCAGATAACTTAATAGTTGAAACTTTAAAAGAATGCTCAAACACATCCACTATTTTTGAGTGTGTGCAAAAGTAATCATGGCACTTGGGGGTAACATGAGACACTTTGAAGCAGAAATTCTTTTATTTTTTTCCTCTTGATTGGTCTGGGTGTTCTGTAGAACTGAAAGATTACACACCAGAGCAGAATAATGTACTTCTGCCATTTTTATAATTGCTATTTTAAGCTTGGTGAGTATGTTCCTATATACTCAGTTCAGTAGTCAGGAATAGAAATAATAAATATCTAGATGTACAACTGAAACTCTTGTAGGCAATGGTAGCACAAATTCTCACATATTTATTGTTGTTTAATCCTATTTTTAAAAAAAATGTACAAGTAGGGTGGCGAAAGGCTCTCTATCCTCTCTCCTCCCCAGGCAAGTGGAAACCAGAATAACATATTCCTAAGTCACTAGGCAATACGAGATTTGAGTCAGTTTTCACACAAGCCATCATCTAACCTCTAATCTAGTACTGCTTCTGGAGTATAATAATTTTGGTGTAAGAACTGTTTGCTACTTGTCTATGTGAATGAGGGGAGAAGGAAATTTATTTTCTAACAAAACACAAATCATATAATCCTCTCAGTCACTGGCATCATTCCTTTATGTTATTAATTAATATTATTTACTTTGTTTTGTTTCTAGTAAAATTATGGGAGGGATAATTATATACATGTTAACATCCAATTTATAATAGTTGTCCTGAAAACTTAAGTAACAATTCAAATTGATTGCAATATTTGAAGTGACCAGTGTGTGTTTGTAGTGTATATTAAAATGTAGGATATTGCTTTTTCAGAGCCAGCTACGAAATCATGAAAGAGAACAACACAGTCTTCCAGATATCTTTTCAGCAGCCACATCTAACAAACTAATAGTTTCCAACGAAGTAGATGAAAGAGAAGGTACTGTTTATATTTACACTTGGAATTAAAAAAGTCACTCATAACATGACTTCTGTTTGTTATATATGTATAAAACTGGCTTTAAAATCTCATTTATGGTGAAATGTTTTCATGCTTGTTTCATAACAAATGTATATTCTTTGTAGTGTGCAAAGCTTAACCATAGTCTGTTTTGAGATATCTTACTGACATTTATCGGTAGGCAAGACATTTTCAAGCCCTGTAATTGGACATTGTATTTCTTGTGAAAAACAACTGGTACGAAGTATTACTCTGAATTTTTAATTAAAAAAAAACGTATTTGTTTCCTTCCTTCTAAATCATCTAGAGCAAATAAAAGAAAGCCTTTTTTAAAACTCACTGTGGTAGTTTGTTGTCAGTGTATATATACAGTACCATCCATTCTGTGTTTAGAAATTTTCATTTAATTGTAGTTATGTCCAAAATGCATCATTTTAGACCTTCAGAGGCAAATATAAGGCATTCTAAAAATTCAACCTGTATCTGTAATAGTTGCCAGAGTAACAGTAGGTATGCATTTTCTAATTGTTTGTTTAACTGTGTATTTGCTTATCATTTAAAAGTGTTTGATTTAAAAACAACAGCAGCAAAAAACCCCAAACCAAACCCTTGATGTCTTAAGGTAGTGAAATAGGGAGAAAAAACAACCAGATTTGGAAGTTTAGGAGAACATGTTTAAAATCCTTTTGAATATCCTGGAGGCCCAATATTTATTATTTCAACTTGAATGCGTCCTCCTGTCTGGTGAGCTGAAGTTACTGAAAATACAGCACTTTTATTCTAAAGGTGACACTGTAATTACTAGTCTTGTGCAATTTTAGAGCACTGTGGAAAAATGCTAGTAATTATATCACCCCTGAACAACTGTGGGCTGAAGTATTTCTGTTTTGTGCACTTTGCTCTTTTCTGTCCTAAGTATGGTCCCTTGTGCGTTTTGATACCAATATGTGCACTATAACAGTACTTAGACCACAGCTGAAATTTCTGGATTCTACTCTCACCTCTACAGGTGATCAGTGACTGCGAAAGCGTTCACTGATACTGATGTAACTACTTGTGAAAAGGACTAATCAGCATGAGCCAGGGTAGACAGTTCAAACCACTAATTATTTGTCCAAAGCAATGTTGTATATGTTGGACTAGAATGAGATCTTTATACTTGGCTTCTGTTCTCTTAGCTCACACTGCCTCTCTTTCTGGCTTTCAACATAGAAAGTTAAAGTTCGTTACATTATCAGCCTCAGGTAAAACGAACCTTCCCAACTCCTTTTCAGTCTCATCAATGCAGAAAGGATTTAAATTCAGATCTGTAGGGCTTGTTACATCCCTAAGACCAAAGTCTGAGAGAGGTATCTGAAGTCAGGAGGAGACAGGAAGGCAGCAAGGGAGGGTCTGCTGGTAGTGGGAATGTTCCCCATGAAGTAGTAAGACTTTTTTCTTCAGAAGAAATAGAATAAATGTTTTAATGGAAGTGATAGGAAATAAAACATTGTTAGTTTATCTGAGTACAAATATGTGTGAGCACAGCTTGGACTATTACTTCTGACCATGTTTTGTTTGGTTTAAACCAGTATTTTTATAAATGTCATGATACAGGAATACTACCTTGAAGTGCCTGAAACATGTTAGATTTGGGGGAATACTGTAACTTTTGATCTAAAGTCCTGTTAAGGAGACTGAAAGTCAAGGTGCCCTTTTGCTTTTGAAAATAGTATGTTTTAATGATGTGGTTTTAGAGTTCATATCCGGATCTTGCAATTTAGCTTTCATGAAAGAGGAGCCCTGTTTGGGAAAACTGCCTGCTTTCAATTTAATTACTGTTGAGATTTTTCTTTAGTATTTTTTGCTTATTATTATCTTACAAAAGTGTTGCAGCCATGCACTTTAATTGCTTGTTTACCCCACATGAAATTCAATAATGTGGCTTGAATGAAAACAGTTCTCCTTTGAAACTTTTATTAACTCATACTTTGGAATGCTTAAATTATTTCAGAACCAATTTATAATTGAATTGCAACACTACTGCAGTACAGCGATCTCTTGTCAAACAGATGTCATCCCTATAAAGCAACACAAAACAAAGAAGTTTATGGCATAGCATCTGGTTATGTGAAAGATGCCTGAGCTGAGCAGTTTCATTTCTTGTTAATGAAATAGTTAGTCCTAAAAGTCTCTTTATTCATCATGGTGGTACAATAAATTAAAAGGGAGCATTATGACACTGGATATGATCGGATTGTAAATGTCTAATAATGAAGGAATAGGGCAATAAGCAGCATTACAGGAGCACCTGTTACTACTGCTAGAACAAAGATCTGTCATTTCCTGCTCCCTTTTAAGAGGCCTGATATCCTCTCTCCAGAAAGCAAAAAAGGCCCAGAACCCACAAGAAATAAGCCCATGGAAGGAGCAGGAGGTGGGACACACGACTGCTATTTTGCAACAGTGAGAGGTTATATGATGTATTATAATTTATGTGCATTTTGTTGAAGGAATAAATCTAAAGTAGTGATTGGTATAAATAATTGCTCCTAAGTGTGTGCTACTGGGTGGTTAGCCATGTACAACTATGCAATAGATAATATGTTTGCATAATGCTTTAAAAATCTCATTAGATACTGTTTCTTTTAAGCTGCCCACCCAATAAAATACCAAATTCGTAACAGAAAATACATTTGGAAGCAGTTTATTCTAAAGCTGCAGAATTTAAGATGGAAAACCCATTCAAGTTTAGCATGCAGTAGCTTGACCTTCAGACAACCCCTGCTCTCCCATAGATCTGCAGCCCCATAAGTGTCTTTGTATTCATTTGTGGTCTTCTGCATGCATATGCATTCACAAAAGAATGATTGTAGATGCCTAAATTCCATAGTCTTCAAGTATATATTAAGATCATTTTGATAATTTACATTAAATAGAAAAAAAACAAACAATAAATTTTACTATGTGAGCATATTGTAGGAAAAAAAATGATATATTTTGCTTTAAGGTTGACTTGCAAAGACTGTATGTTATATATTACTTCCATATTACTTTTAAGAATGCTACAAGAGTGAGCACTATGTCATGTTTTAAAGTTAAAAATATAAAATATTCTTTCTGTTATCTTGGTACACACAGAATTATTCAGATTTTATTTCAGACTCTTTGTATTCACATTGCTGTTTTATACGACATACTATATATTCTTCAGAATAACCTTCTGGGATTATCAGGCCTCCCCTAACGTGCTGAATTTTGGAGGAAAGGTTTAATTATTGATGATTTTCCCTTACTGTCTAAGTTAGCTTAAACAGAATTATTATCCCTCAGAATAATACAACTAAAACTTTTTTGGACATAATTCAGTGCCCACCTGTTGGGGGAGGCAAAAATCAAAGTGAAAAGTTGAGCTTCCATTTTGGATGACACTCTTTCCACTGGTTTATTCTGCAGTGTCTCCTTAAAAGAGTTCTGCCATAAAGATTGCTAAGTGTTGCTTTGATAAGGAAAAGATTAAAGATTCCAGGTGGAGTCCAGCATCATTAAAAGGGAACTTCAGAACAAAATTATCTTTACAAAATCTGTTTAGTATTTTGGACTCGGGAGATGAAACTTCTGTTTTCAAGATAAACTGTAGTTCCTCCTAAGCTCAGTCTGCTTGTCTTATATCCTCCCTTCAGAAGGTGATAAAGCAGGGGGTTTCAGCAAGTTTTTATTACTCCAAACTGGAAGGAAGCTCATGGTATTTGGACCTAAGTTGAGATATGTCTGAAAACTCTACTTTCTGTTGTTTTCAACAGCCACTTTTTCATATTTCAAGCTTGTGTGTCTTTACAAGTTGGAAAAATGGCAAACAGACTCTCCCCTCAGTGTGACATGGACCTCTTGGCCTTGACAAGATTTCTTCAAGATTCAGAATGAAGGAATCTTACTTGGGAAATCAGAACTTGCTTTTCTAGGGAAGGGAAGTTATCCTTGGTTTGGGGAGGAACTGGGAGGCCTGGGAATTAGATCACCTGCTGGTATTCCCAGAGTTTTTTAAGTCAATATCTACTAAAAAACATTCAGCTAATACAGCCTTTTCTGTTCGTCCAGGATCTTCTGATTTATCCTGTTACTAGTAAACCTCTTCATAACACAAATTAATTTATGCTGGAGATGTACTTCACAGGAGCTTGAAGTTTCTGAAGTCTGTTTTTGCGATATTTCAGCTTTACTTACTCCCACACATTATTTATTGAATTGTTTGTTTATTTTGGTTTGGGGCTGTACTTTAGTAATGATCTTCACCCACTGGAGATATTCTCTAAGGATTGATACCAGAGTTTCTTCAAAGCCCATGAAGGAAACTGAGAGTAATGTCTTGGCTGTTCAGCCAGGTAGTAAGAAACGGTGCAAAGATAAAATGAACTTAAGCACGTTACTTGCACTTACTTCACTTTAGCTAATGAAGAGGTTAGGTGCAGGATGAAAGCCCTGTGATTTTAGTTTGATGTTTCTTTTGGTGGTAGTCCTGACTTAAACAGCTCCAGCCTTTGTGTTCCTTCATGTATCTGCTGTTCTTCATTTGGGGAGTGTGTGAAGGCTGTATGGTAGGTTGGAATGGAAAAGAAGCATAGAAAATACCATCGCTCTTCTCATATGTTAATATTTTAACCCATATCAGTTCCATTGTTCAGTAAAGAAGCAGGAATAAGGCTGTTTAAGTCTATCCACATACATCTCAAAAATATTCAGACTGTGCACTTGTGAGCATGCTTTTTCCTTTGTTAGGTTAGTCATTAGTCTTTGTCTTTGCAGCCATTAATTTTTCAAGAGTCTTTTTCATTCTGGAAAAAAAAATGATTTTTGTTACAATTGCTTTTTAGTAATTTGGAGAAGTTCCGAATTATTTCTTCTCACGTCTGATCAGAATCTTTTTTCTTTTTTTTTTTTTCCTTTGTTGATGTGCATGTATGTGGGAGGGAGAGAGGGGATTTAGATACTTTGGGAAGACTTCTGCTTTTTGCCAGTTTGAAACTTACAGAATCATAGAATAGTTAGGGTTGGAAAGGACCTTAAGCTCATCTATTTCCAACCCCCCCACCATAGGCAGGTACACCTCACACTAGACCGTGTCACTCAAGGCTCCGTCCAACCTGGCCTTGAACACTGCCAGGGATGGAGCATTCACGACTTCCCTGGGCAACCCATTCCAGTGCCTCACCGCCCTTACAGTAAAGAACTTCTTCCTTATATCCAGTTTAAACTTGTTCTTTCTTAATGCCCATCTTTTCCTTTCCGTTCTGCAAAGCAATGAAACTCCTGGGGTCAGCAGTTCCCATATTTTAATACCTTTTGCTGGTGTTTAACCCAGAAAGAAGTGTCCACATAGTGAGAAAGGATGTGTTATCCTAAAATTTTAGTAATTCTAGTAAATGGTAGGGTAAATGCAGAACAGCATGCTAAATAAACGATCCAGTTTGCTCCAGATACTTTAAAATTGTTCAATATTTACAGATATTCAAAAGTATTGCTTTTAAATGTTAATTCATGTTTCAAGGCCAGGTTGGACAGAGCCTTAGGCAACATGGTCTAGGGTGAGGCATCCCTGCCCATGGCAGGGGGTTGGAACTGAATGGTCTTAAGGTCCTTTCCAACCCAAATCATTCTGTAATTCTGTGATGATTCAGTTGTGCTGAAATTATCACCTGACAACACCTTACAACACTGAATGTAACTCACTAAAATAATGGATTTTGTTTCACATAGGAAACAAGTCTTCAGTTCAGAAACTGTATAGGTGTGATGTGTGTGACTACACAAGCACAACTTATGTTGGTGTACGCAATCACAGACGAATTCATAACTCTGATAAGCCATACAGGTAAGTGTCTTAATTATTGCTAATGCCACTTGTCTGGTTTGCTTGTTTTAATTAAAAAGGTTACTAAATTGCTCATGCAGTTTTGAAGATATTGTTAAAAAATTCTGATTAACTTAGCATTTCTGATGGATCTACATGCGCTGGTTGACTCAAACTTATGTTATTAAGGTTTGCTGACTTTTCCAGGACATATCTGTGACCATAGCAGTCTACTTCTGTTTTTCAGTTTGAAACATTCAGATGTGAAAAAGGAAGTTAATTACATTGTAATATTGAACTTTGCCCAATAGTAATAATATATTTGCTTTATTGCAAAGTGTTTCTTATTGTTATCCGGTTACTTTTTACATTGGCTACTACAGACTGTAGCAAAATTCTGCCCTTTGTCTTATCACCAATCCTCTCCTCTTTTTCACAGGTTTCAAGCAATAGTAATACACTCATTTAGGCTCTGTTTTATAACTTTTCTACAAGATGTTATATGGATTTATATACAACTTTGGTATCTAAAGTCACGTGTAATACTGTAGGTCGTGTCCCCAGCAGAAAAATAAATCATGCATTTTTCTATGGGTTGCTGCATAAATTCCTGCAAATTCAATTTGTGCTACTTTAGTGTGGATCTCTGTCCCTCTCTAGTGGCTAGAAAATAGATCTGAGTTAATAGAATTTTTTAGCTGATATACTTCTATCTTTTTAAATGCAAATGCTGGAAACTGAACACCTTGAAATGCAGAGCTCAGCAAGGGTCTTTCTCTTTTGGATAAACAAACCCAGAAGACACATTGTATTTTGATTTGTACATTATGATGATATCCCGTAATACTAACAAAAATTTGCAAGATATTTGCTCAGAGAGCAAACGTGGAATACAAATAAATTCCTTTTTTTCTCCTCAGGAACATCCCTGTCGCTGTTACTTGTTACTTAGAAGGGTTGGAACAGCAGATACTGTAAAGGGTCTTGTAAATGGTAGTTTTCTGAATTGGTGTTAGCCAGCTTGTTTGATTTAGGAAGACTTGAAAATTTTCCACTGGTGGTACAGACTGCTGCATACTAAATTTAAACCTACTGATCTGGCTTGCTTTTCTTATGATTTTTTCATAAACCCCTTAGGCAAATCTACAGACCTGGTAGGATACTTAAGCCACAGCCTAATAAACATAGAAGTCCAGTATTATGGTATTTCTCCTTTTGAAACATGTATTCCTCAAGTCTTTAATAGTATCAAATAGCAACCTATTACACTGCTGCCGTTTTTATACCTGCAAACGTATTTTCTTATTATTCTGAAAAAAAGTACTGGAAATTAAACTGCATAGCTTCCAGTGATGCATTTTTGTAGATTTGAACCTTCTGGATTTTAATAGTGCAAATTAAGACCTTTAAAAAATAAAGCGAGTAATGTCAAGTGAAGTATCCTGAAGTCTCAGACAAGACTTAAAATTGGACACATTACCATTTCAAAAGAAGAAACAACTGAAGAGCTAACAACTATGCAGAGTCTGAGCTGAGCACGATGGCTTCTGTATATTACACACAAAAAGTTTGTGTGGTAGTATACTGTTATTTATTAATATATACAGTATACTGTTTATTTAAGAATAGCATAGTATTTTGTGTGACACTTTGGGATCTAAATTTACATTGACTGGTTTATGTATTGTTTTATACAAAGAAACTGACAGAAGTAAAAAAATTAAGAGCATGGTGTGACACACTTCTCTTAGGGCATTTGAATCTAAATATGTTGGTCTTGTCCGTTTTAGGACAAGAAATGCTCTGAAACCTAGTCATTTCATTACTAAATAGGTAGTTTGGCTTTAAAAATGTCATGAGAAACATGGCTGTTGCATTAAGCATAACATGTATTCTTGAGGAACAAGACTTAATTCTGAATACACTATGTGCCCTATAGCTCTTATGGCCATATTCTGCCTTGGTATAACACAGCCAAGCAACTTGCATCAGAGCTGCACTGACTCCTGTGCATCCTGATACTTCATTACACTTACCAGCTTCACAATAGATGTCAGGAAGGAGTACAGATCATATGTCTCTTCAAAGGAGGAGGCTTTTTTGGCCTGTAAATTGTTCTCATTGTCCAAAAACTGAAAGTTAATGCCATCACTTGAACTTCTGTGAATATTGTTATGTCTTTAACTATAGTCTTTCCAGATATCTTTGCTTTCTTACAGATTTTTGTTTCTGGAATAGTGTTAGCAGTTAACTGTCAGATTTGTTTACTTCTTCTTGTCTCTTTAGATGTCGAGTGTGTGACTTCGCCACCACAAACATGAATAGCTTGAAATGCCATATGAGGCGCCACCCCCAGGAGCATCAGGCAGTGCAGCTGATGGAACAGTACAAGTATGTAACAGTTCTCATTTGGCAAACAGCTGTGACAGGGATTTTGTTATGTTAAGATACAAAGCAGAGTTCAGGTTCTGTTCTTCTCCCTCCTAGATTCATTATTTGTTCCAGTGACTTTTTTTTTTTTTTTGAAAGAGAGAATGAGAGAGGGATTTGATGTGGCATTCCAAGGTGATATTTATGCTTAGTAATTAAATATATCCGTGACCTCCCTCTGGATCAATAGTCAGCTTTTTTCTTCCAGAATAGGGTGGTTGCATATAAACTGCTTATTGCAAACAGTTTCTGATCTGTGTTAATTACCAAAGCATGCCTGGATTTGTTTGGGAGAATGTATGTGCCAAAATCACGCCAGGGCATTTCTAACGTTTAATGTTACAGATTGTTAAATGCCAGTACCCAGGAATGTTCTCTGGCTTTGTTTAATATTCTAGTCTAGGCACAGCCTTTGCGTGTACATGTTAGTTAGAATCCAGGTTGGCATCACACTGCCCTAGTTAAGAATTAGTATGAACAGTCATTATGTTTAAGTGATGAGTGTCCTTTATATTCTGTCCATAGATATGTGTGATATATATATAGATATATAGATACAGATACATGAGAAAGTTGGCACAAATGTGTATAATTGTTTACTACTAATTTGAAAAAAAAAAAAAAAGCAAAACTAGGAAAGGAAAGTAAATCAGGAATATACTGAATATTCTGACAATTCTGAACATTTCTTCATGGAATATTTTAAAGGCAATAGGAAGAATCCAAACCAGGCACATTCATCTAAGGGTTTCTTCTCAAGAAAAGCTGCTTTTACAACTTCATATTCCTTCCACTACCTTTTTCCCCAAAACTATTACTAATAGCACTAAATTCTATTTGCTCTGTTGACATAAGTCCTACTGTATTGCTGAATGCTGTTAGTATTACCAAAGATTACTGCAAACCTCCACACTTTGGTCCCTGCATCCCAAGGAAATAGTCTGTCCAAAGCTGCAAGGTAATTGTTTCCTCAGTAGATCAGTTTAGGATACTTGAACAGTTCAGTAATTCAAAAACAGGTCAACCTGTTGAGCAAGTCATAGTACAGAATTGAAAGGGTTCTACTACCAAACTATTTGTTAAATAGTTTTGTTTCTCTGGGATGTCTTGCATAGAGTGTAACTGTATATTAAGTATATGATCATGAAGTGTAATGCATCATGCTAAAAGCTGATGAGTTTCTGTGTCTTTGATTTGAACTGTGTGATAAAGTGGTCAATAGCATTTGGCTTGTGATACTGTTCACAGCAAAGTAAATCTGATTAGTACATTACCTGAGCAAATGAATGTACTTTAAAAAATGAGGGGATAAAAACAAACACTGAACTGTTGCTTCATTTCCGTGTTACCAACCCACTGACCAGTGACTGGTGCAGAAGAATCATATATATAATAAGATTAGTAGAATACACATGCACATAGAGTGGAATTAAGATTATTGATCTTTGTTTTGAAAAAAAAATCTATAAATTAACTGTAAGGTCTGCCTTTTATCTTACTTTTATGATGCCACTATCTTGTAACAGCCTTATTAGAAATATTAAGACTCTCAACCTGAGAAGGAACATGCCTATATTTTCTTTATAAGGCTTCAAATTATAAGAAAAAGAGAAAAATAGGATTGTTCATTCCAAATCAGGTAAAAGAGAAAAGTGAGCCAGAATGATATGCTTATTGTTCCCCAGCAGGACAGAATTATCTTGCTACATAAGCAAGGTAATGTACCATGCCTTCACCTAACTTGTGAGATTTGTGCTGTTCGCCACAATCTTCTGCTAAGCAGAAATAGTTTCCTATATATGATTATTTGCAAGGCATTTAAGGACTATATCCTACCATCATTAAGAGAAGTCATAAAACCTCACTGAATTGTAGTGTATAACACAGTTTTACATAGGCCTTCTCATGTTTCCAGGTTATATTTCTGGAAAGGTCTTAAAAACATAGAAAAACTGACTGGAATAGTAGTCATTTTAACAGACTCATCATAGTGTAACGTACTGGGATCACGCTGCTTGAGCAGAAGACATCCTCTCATTGAGGAATGAGACAGACTGAGATGCATTCCTAGGTATAATTTATTAGAAGAAGGTCACCTTCAGGTCTTTTCCATGTGATTTGAGAAACTGAAAACTTCCAAAATAGCATGTAGCTAAACGAAGTAGCTTCTTTGTCCAAAAGACAAGGAGCTCCATCCTCTTTACCATGAGAGGTACTCTGCTCTGGACTGTTCTGCTCTGGCATGATGTCATGGAGTATCATTCATCTCTTTCATGCTGAGATAACTAATTTATCATGAAACACTTGCAAAAAAAATGTGGATGTATGTTCATGTATGAAAAGGGTCCCATGGGATTTGATCAGTCTTGGGTTATTTGTATCCATAAATACACCACATCTCTATATAAATGAGACTTATTCTTCAAGGTTTTGTCCTTTACTGTATAAGGCAGTGTTTTATAGTCTTGTGGTACCCGAGCTTATGGAAAACTCTGTAGACAAAATTGACACCTGTCTGAATCTTGACCCTTGTATATATTCAATATCTGACTGGATGCTGTCCTCGGGATCTCAAAAGGTCCCCATCCAACTTCAACAAGTCTGTGATCCTTAAATAAATTAATATATGCTACATCAGGAAAGACTTCATTAGTTCAGTTTAAATTACCAGTTCTAATTACACAGCTGCTTGGTTCATAGCAATAGCAAAGATTGCTCGTGACCTGCCTGACAGTTACCATACCAATGTACTCTCTGTTTCTGCAGTCACCAGAACTATTGCATTTTTGCAGTATTTAAACAGGCCAAACAGATAAGATTTTCATTCAGCTGCTTAAGAAATCAGAAAGAGCAAACTTAAAAATTCTCAGACTCTAAAAACAGTCTTAAATTTCAGGATGAAACTGCAAACTAACTCAACCTAATAATGAAACTGAAAGTGTGACCAAGAAGCTGATTTTTTTTCTCATCCTTTTGGAATAACTAATCCATTGCTAAGCTAATAAAATTTAACTTCTAAGTGTTTCTTTCTCCTTCTCCGCTTGTTTTTTTTCCCTCAGATGTTCTCTCTGTGGGTATGTATGTAGCCATCCTCCATCCCTGAAGTCCCACATGTGGAAACATGCAAGTGACCAAAATTACAACTATGAACAAGTGAACAAGGCTATTAATGATGCAATTTCGCAAAGCAGCAGGTACGTCTGATTTACTTTCAAGCCCTATCATGTAGAGTTTTCACATGACCCAGCTCTGATCCAAAATAAAGTTCCTGTGAAAAGCAACAACTTTATGTTTGATATTTGTTTCATTTTTGTTATTTCAGGTTTCAAGGACAGCTTCCTGACAAAACACTATTAGAAGGCACGGATGAGAGTACAATATCTATACTAGGAAGTTCAGACAACTTGGTGTCTTTTACAGAGTCTATTAACCAGACTACAAACGAAATTTCAGGTTCTGATGAAAAGCCTAACTTGATGAATACCTCATGCAGTTTAGAAAAGAGCTCCACTCTACCCCACATTGGCACAGAATACTGTGTTCTTCTCTTCTGCTGCTGCATTTGCGGTTTTGAGTCTACCAATAAAGATAATCTGCTGGATCATATGAAAGAACATGAGGGTGAAATCATAAATATCATTCTAAATAAGGACCACAGCACATCCCAGAGCACAAACTAGGAGAAGCAGTAAGTTAAAAAGAGGGTTTCCTAGATTGAGTATTTTCTTTCTTTGCTTAAGAAACTTGCTGAAGAGAAGAATGGCAAACAAAACTCGGTTTCCCATTCTGAGTCCTTGTTTCAGTAGGAGTACAATATTTTAATGAGGGATTGATGAGTCAGTTAAGAGATAAATTTAGGGAGTGGGGAATAGAAGGATTCATTTTAACCTGCTGTTTCTGTATATGGTGCCAAGAACGTAAGATTCTTGAGGGGTTTTTTCTCTTACGGTCAGGTACTAGTCATTAATAAGGCATTAGCACAATACAATCAAACCCAAAGGTATGAAAGCTTTGTATCAACTGAAAAGCTTTTTCCTTCCTCCTCCTTTGTTGTGTTCCAGGCATTTCATCAAGCAACTTTTTTACTTTAGATTTTGGGGTGTTTTTTTAGGGTGTTTTTGTTTGGTTGGTTGTTGTTTGGTGGTTTTTTTTAAACTAGCAACAGACCAGATAAAAATTTTACAGTATGATCTCACAAACTCTCACTGGCTTGATTCTTGGCAGCAGGGAGAGGGACGTGTGCATGCAAGCATGCACATGTAAGCATTTCATTTCTCCCCATCTATTTTTAAGGACTTACAAACTCCAAGGCATCCTTCAAAAAAGACTGCTATCCTTTCTATTGATTTAGAGCAGCGGGAGCTGAGGAGCCTGGAATAGTTTTGCTAATAACTGTTTGATTGGATCCTAACTTAACAAAAATCCGATCTTTTGAATTGATAGTAGGTAAAAGATCCTTTATAATAATGACCTGCTGTTTTTTTATAATAATGACCTGCTGTTTTCTTGACAGATTCAGCAGATTCTATTAAAAAAAAAAAAAAGCTCATCATATGACATTTTTAATTTGTGGTGATTACTTTGCAGTCTGTATGAGCAATGTGCTTTAATGAGAACAAGATAGTAACAGTAATTGCCACAAGGGGATGTAGATTAAACCTATGTAGGTTACTAAAGATGTAGGTGAGCACAAAGTGCGTTTTTAAGCAAACCTTACATGCTTTTGGAGTTCTTTGAAATCCCACTGGCTGTCTAAACTGCCCATTTGTCTGGCAGAGCTGTAACTGTAGAAATAATTTGCTCAAAGATAGAATAATCTTTCTGTAGAAAATAATATTTAAAAAAGCAAACAATATTTTAAGCAGAAACTGTATCCAGTCACTTGTACAATAAATTTTACTACTGCATATAAGAAGGATTCATTAAGGGAAGTAGGATTGTTTTCTAAGAAAAAAGAAAGCTTCTAAAATGACAGTGCCTTTTTCTTTTTCTTTTTTTTACAGTACAGCAGTTTGCAGTAGAAGACGTTCATCTCTCTATCAGTGGGGAATATTGTTATACTGGCTAATTACCTGGCAACTTTGTTGAGGTTATTTAAAAAGTTGGCTAGTTAAATTGTTGGAAATACATGCTTTGATAAAATGAAGTAGTAGCATTTCCAAAGAGGCCCTTTAGGAGCCAGATTTAAACTTTCTAGTTCAGGCATGTATTTCTGCTTTTAATGACAGGCAGATGCACAGCAGCATGCCTAGTTCTTGACATGGGGATGTAGTTACCTGATTTTTAGTAGCTTATTACTTAGAAAATTACTTACTCTTAGAAGAACAGTATTTCATGGTTACTTTATCTATAACTTTCTGCTAGCAAAAATAAGCTACAACTTTAAATCTGAGGTGGCATATATAGTGTACAGTCTATTGTGCTATTGCTGACTAGAAGTGGCATCAGAAAAGAAAACAGTTCTTGTCACAACTTTATGAAGCAGCACAAACGCACTAAGAGTCCAAGTACATTTGGTGATTTTTCTTTTGATTTCCTCAATTTGACTTGTTCTTTTGGGTTAAATATTATTTCATTAATAAATTGGGTAGCAGAAAGTACACATTTTGCTTTAAAAATTGGTCAGGATATAATGTCAGAGCATTTTTGTGTCAGATATTTGAGATATTTTAAGTACATAAGTGAAGTTGCTTAGCTAGTGAAAGATAAAAAGGTGAAAAACTTTTTAAAATAAGAAGGAGGTGGCAATGAAACAAGAGAGTACAAACAGTTCAAAACAGCACCCTTGAATCAAAATTATCAATTTTCTGGTGTATATCAACCCACGCTTGCAGCAGTAAGTATAATGTGCCAGGAGTCTTTGTAGGGGGATTACAGAGCAGGATGCGTCTATTCACAGTTGTTCTTTGCCATCCTGTTGCTTTTTTCTTTTTGACTGTGTGTTCGTATAATGGTAGAAAGTTAGTTGATGCTAAAAACCATTATAAAACCCGTAACAAATGCCAACAAATAATTCCTTTCCACATGTACAGAGATTTATTTTTTTAAAAACTGTCTTCATTCTGCTTGCCATTAGCTACCCACTCACAATTCCCTTCGGACTTTACCCGAAGTTCTGCATGTGAAGTAATTATAGACTTAGTTTTTCTGAAAGCAAATTTTTTTTTGCTTTATTATTCCTCAGGTTAGCTGCTTTAGAAAGTGTATGGTTGGCTTGGTTGCATGTTCTGTAATGGGTTTTAGGCACATTTCAGTCACCAACACTGCAGTCTTCGCCTTTCTCTAAGCTTGTAAAATATTTTTGGATCTTCTGTCACAGTACTATCAGATGATCAGCTATTCACTTGCCATTTGTTTCAATTAGATTTTATTCTGTGTTATAAACTGTAACTTGCAGCTTTAAACGCCTCTACTTCTACTAAAGAGAAAACTTACTTCATTCTACTCTGTACTGATAAATAGGTGCATATTTCATCTTTCTGACTGATACCTGGCCTGGAAAAATACAGTGGGGTTCAGTCAGAGTTAGGGTATTTTCCAGAAGCACTTATTTAATCATTTTTAAAAAAATGTACAGTTGGTGCTCAAAGTAACATTTGTTAAGATATATTTAATAGAAATTTACATTTGCATTTGATATTCATGGACATGGGTACATGTATTTTTTTAAGAAAAGGTAATGTAACACTATGGCACTGCTTTTATAGCCAAAGTATAAAAAAATTAGAAAACTGACATGTAAAGACTGCAGTTCATTCTGATACTGTATCTTGTTAAACAGGATGACTTTTCATTTTATGAGATTATCCAGCACATTAAGCTGCATGCCTTAAGCTCTCTCTAGGATTGTGTTCCTGATAGATGACTGTTTGGAACTACGAAGCAAAGTCTGTAGTACTACTTTAACTACCTTCTGAAATACTGTACAATGTTAGAATAATTTATTTTGCTTTACAGGAGTTTGTCACGTATCGACTTTAATATTGTATTTTGGTAATAAACTTCTTTTGTTAAACACTTTAGCCACTTTTATTTCACCTGTGAAATACAAAAATGGAAAACTCAAACACTGAACCAGTGTTTAGAGACATGGGAATCTGTTTAGATCAAGAAATATTTTTAAAACTTGACTGTCATTTCTTGCTCATTGTTGTTACACTTTTAATATTGTTAACACAAGTTTTATAAAAGTAGCTGTAGTGATGAAATATGATGCTGTTAAGTCAAAATACTTGTAAGCCTGCACACAGTTATGATGGGACAAGGCTGAAGGACACAACTGCAAAGTTCTTCATTATGAAGCTAGTGGGAATTTCTTCCCCAGTTTCAATGGAATGAAAGCTTTAGGCAGCTCTTTTCAGGTAAGTGAAGGTGTGGGTATTTCCAAACTGTGGCTATAGTTGAGTTAACCACTATGTAGGGCAGTCTAATGGTTTTCTACTACACAAATTTTTCTATGTTTAAGTAACACTATTTTACAGCGTAGCTTGCATTAGTAGTTTGGGAATGACAGAAGAATTTGCATTGCTGGTCCTCTGCAGTCATTTCCACAAAACGGAAAACTTCAATGACCCTAGCATTTTATCACAAATATATTACAAATATGCGGTGTTAAAAACTACGTCAAAAAAAAAACTGTCAAAAAACAATAGAATTTAAATTACTAATTCCCCTCTTCTCAGTACTACTACCTGTTGGCAACTGCGCAACACGGCCTGTCACTTAGTAACATCTATCCAAGTTTGATTCTGTAGAGAGCAAGCTTTTGGTGGTCCCAACTTTACTGACCATGCATAATGACTGGATTTCTATAGCTCTTGAATGATTATGTTCTGTGTAGATTCTACTGCACATTGGCCTCTTTACAGGTAGTGGATAAGCAGAATTTCCGTTCTAGGAAACATCTTCCACAACATTCCCCATCTCGGAAATTTTAAGTCAATTATCAAATATATGAAGGAGGATATAAAGGAGGTCAGATATGACCTCCTTTACACAAAAAAGTACACATACTCAAGTTTGCTTCTTTATTTACAGTGTAAAATCACTTGTATGATTTGTATACAATGTGTTCCTTTAATGAACTTTAATGATGTGGTAGAGATGCCATTAGTGATAAAAACAAGATACAATTAACGCCCATTGTAAACCTGTAATTCTTCACTTTTCATATTAAGTTCAAGCATTCCCCAAAAATGTACCACCTGCTTTATTGCTAAAAAAAAAAAAAAAAATAGAAGTAAATTGATTTACAGTAGGAATTTTTCACTATTTGGAGAGTTTAGCAGAGGAAGTAAGATAAAATCATCATTTCTTCTAAAATACACTTCTGTAACATACAAAATGTACCAAGCCAGATACTGAAAAATTTCCTGGTTTCAAAGCTCTGAATTACTAGAATGATAACTAATTACTTGGCATCTCTGAGCATGTTTTCTATGGATTCTATGCCTCTGTGTTCAAAATAACTCTGCCAATGAACCATGGATGTGGAAGTATTGCTGGACTGTAATGGTGATGGAAAATAACCTGATATTGTCCTGAAGAAGTGAAATTGATCCCCACCTGTTCTACAGAATTTGTCTGGAAATCTGCTTTCTGGGATAGGATCTGGAAGTTGGTGTGCTGGTAAAGGCTTTATGGGGAACTTTTCTGTCTACGACTATCTTTAAAGACACTGCAAATAAAACTCACTGTAAGAGTAGGTTGTACCAGAAAAAAATGGTGCTGCTGCTATCTTTCTGCTACAGAGGTAATAGTCACTTCCCCCTTGCATGTTTGTGCTGCAACTGATAAATACACTGGAGCTTATAATGAACTGAATACAAAATCGTCATCATCATAGAATCACAAACGGTTTGGGTTGGAAGGAACCTTAAAGCTTATCGCGTTCCAACCGCCTGCCATGGTAGGGACACCTTCCACTGGACGAGGTTTCTCAAGGCCAATCCAACCTGGCCTTTGAACACTGCCAGGGATGGGGCAGCCACAACTGCTTTGGGTAACCTGTGCCAGCGCCTCACCACCCTCACAGGGAAGAATTTTTTTATTTAAATTCGAATTATTAAATTTAAATTTAAACATCACACAGACCTGGCACTACAGATATTTGGTAAAAGCATAAAATAATAATAAAGTAAAAACTTCTATGTCAGTGTTACAGAGAAGACCCGTCCGCGCCCGCCGACGGCCAGCAGACAGCCAGACCCGAAGTGGGGCCGCCTCGGGAACACGGCGCAGGAGGACCAGCCCCGCTCCTCGGCCCGCCGCCTTTCGGAATTCAAGACTACCTAGAACCCTCTCGGGTGGGGAGGGATGAGTCTGGGACCGGGCTGACTTCACCCGTTTCTACTTCCGCAGATAGCCTTCTCCTCTGGTGCTTCTCTCACAAAGCCCGAAAACCTCAGGACAAGCTGCGCTGCCCACACCGCCGCAGGTCCTAGACCGGCTCCTCCGCCTCAGCCTGTCCCCGGCCCTCAGCCCGCCCACTGCCCACCGCCGGCGGCTCCTCCCCGCTCGGGCTTCCCCCGTCCGGCGGCAGCCGCCTGCCCACCAGCGCGCCGGGGCCTTGTAAGCCGCCGAGCCCCAAGCCACCGCTGCTGCGCTCGTTCCGCACCGCCTGACAGCGGCAAACAAAAGGCGCCGCGTCCGCCCCCGCCCCTTTCCCTCCATCGCCGCGGGGCCCGGGCGGTCCCGCTCAGACAGCCCCGGTAGGAGAAGCCACCGCCCCGCTGCAGCCAACCCGCGGCCCTCGGATCGTCGGCAGGTATCGGCCCCGCCAGGGGAGATGCGGAGGGGTAGGGGAAGATGCGGGCGGCCAGAGGAGCTAATAGGCCGCGCGGCATACCGCCGGGCCGCGCAGGCCGCAGCAAGTCGTGCCAGCGGCGGGGAGGAGGCGGCGCCCTCGAAAGCTTACCGCGCCCCGCCGGGGGTGCCGCGGCCCCAGGCCCAGCCCTCTCGCCTCTCCCCTCCCGCCCTTGCCCAGCGTCAGGGGTCGCTTCGCTCTCCGGCGGCTCACCCGCCCTCTCGCTTCTTTGCCGCGGTGCCCGACAACACCGACGGGATCGCCCCGTGCTCCCCACCGTGCCCCCGCTCCGGCCTGCAGCCGTAGAGCCTGCTCCCCCTGCTGAGGCCTCCTCTCACCTCTGGCGGCTGTGGGGACGAGGCGGGATGTTCCCCTCCCGGCGCCCTGCGACGGCCAAACCGCTTCGGTAGAAGGCGTTTAGGCAAGCTGCCTGAGAATGGCACTGGAAAGAGAGGGCCTGGTTATGGTAACCATCTTGCTTGCATTAGTTGTCAGGTTTTCTACAGACCAGGTACTTAAAATCAACTTTGATACGTGCTCACATAGTTCCTGCCATGTGTTTTCCCAGGCATGCAGAAAGAAATGAAGCTAATGGCTTGTAAAAGCTTTAAACAACAAATTTGTGCCTCTGAGGTGTATCTGTCCGACCGTTACTGTTACCAGTCAGTTACACCAGTGGTAACACAGATACATTTGTTTATGCTCTGGGAATGGCATTCAGGATGGGGCATGGATTCTCAAATGTAGAACGGCAGGTTGAAGCAGTTTTATGAATGGACCATGCTCACAAAGCGGAGAGCACCTGGCATTTGGTGGGAATGACTAGCTGCTCTGTTCTTTGTCTTTTTGTAATGTTTTCAAATTTTATGGTGCTTTAATAGTATAGAATATCAAGGGTTTTTATTTTGGGTTTTTTTTTAATATCATCTCTCTAGTTTTTATGACACATCTTCTCTGATATCATTTTTGCATTTTATGGCCCCCTTCCTTAGTATTTCCTGAAAGCCAGGATTTAAACAATTGGCTTTCGCTTTTAGGTGCCCAACCAAAATACCCTAAAAGGACTAATTTTAATTTGAAGGGCTTACACTTTTTCAAAGAAACAGTGCCTAACGTGTATTTTGAGTCAAGGGCTAAAAGGGAGGGCAGTCAAAATAAGGAACCATTCTGAAAACCTGCTCAAGAATATGTAAAATGGTAAACTTAAGTCTTTACATATTTAAGATCATGTATTCTGTACTTCCATTTGCACTCTGAGTTGTACAGATTTTAAAAAATCTTGTATTTTTGTAAGATCCAATTCAACTGCAGTATAGTTTTGTAAGTCAAAGTCTCAGATGGCAGTAAAATATGGTTCTGTTTTCAGATCTTTCATACAGTATTGAGTGTTTGGGTAAGAAGATGCATTGCTTGTATATGTCCATTTAGGGGTCAGACTGAAGAATAATGAATTAAAATGGCTGATATGATGACAACTGTAAGACAGAGAAGGGTTGGAAAAGGTACAGAAGGAGCTGAAGAACAGCCTTCAGAGGAGAAGAGTGTAAAGCCTGATGGAAAAAATCTGTCTGGTGCGTAATGGAAAGGATTGTAACATTCTGGCTTTTAGTAGTGTTTAGTTTTTGGTACTTATCATAAGAACAATATAGAACTAGATACGTACCAAATACATTTGCATACTTGAATATCAACAAAATTAATTGGATGAGACAGAGGGCATGCAAATTAGTGCATGTCAATCTCATCGCTGTTTTAAGATCCTAATTTAAATTGGTGAGTATATTTTTTGTCATTTAGTATCAGTGAGACACTCGGATTTTATACAGCCATCATAGGTTCTTAAACAAATCCAAGTTTATATCATTGGTAATATAAAAGGTTTTGAAGACCTGAAGGTGCTGCTTAAATATAAGCAGGTTGCACATGAAATCTCAATTTAGCTGCAAACACTTGATTTTTGACTATAGGACAGACTAGCTAGGTAAATTTAAATGAAGCGTTAAATGTCTTAAGGATCTGTTTAAGTAATGAAATACTGAGCATTTTTATATGGAATTGCAGCTTTAGAGTTGGCAGAGTTTCTTGGTTGGTTTTTTTGTTTTTTTTTTTTTAATTTTTTTAAGGGAGACGTTTTTATATAAATTGCAAATGTTTCTGTATATGCAGTTTGGGTAGATGCGGGGAAACAACAATGTCACTGTCCTTTCAAG